GTTGGCAACCCTACCGTCAAGTTACGTTACGATCCATTGTGTGGAGCTTGACCAAGCACGCAACAATGTTGCATCGAAAAGTGTGGTTTTACCACCCTTTCCAAGTTTCAAGTGAGCGTCACAGTTTTATTATTGAGTTGGTTAAATATATATTATACAAGCTTTAGTTGGTTAAATATATTAAACTAGCTTGAATTGGTTAAATATATATTAAACTAGCGGGTGCTCGCTACTTTGTTTACGTAGTTATTGTATTCTCAAACAAACTGCCACACAACTTTTTCACCCCCTTTAAGGATGATTTTTGGGGTGAAAACTATCCTATGTCCTTTCCCAGTACTTTAACTATATCTAAGTACATTCAATTTCATCTCAATCGGTTCAGCGGGCTAGGCGTGAAGAGGTAACAGGTAGACACAGAAACGCAGTTTCGCATTTATAATACGGTATGTATTAGTATGGATAAGATATTTAGTGATTGAAGAGCCAGATAAATATAGGTATAATTCCTACTCAAACCACCTAAAATTATACCTAACACATACATAATATCGGCTTGTGTTAATAATGAAATGAAAGTGAATTCGTAGTAACAAAATTAGCACCTTTGACAGTAACGTGGTAAAGTAAAAAACCGGCCAAGTGCGTGTCGTGCCACGCGCAGTGTAGGGTTCCGTAGTTGCCTGTCGTGACGACAATATATATGAGCAGGAGTCTTTATTTTCTGTATCTGACGTTAAAAATAACAATTAATATCAAACTATGTATCTCAACTAAAATACCTAAATGAAAGTCAAACTGCGTCTCAAACTCAAAATCAACTCCATATTTCCCATAATGATAAAAATCTCATAAGTATTTTTATCATAATGGGACCAACAAGAAATGGAACAGATTAATTCAAACATAGCATTTTAATTCTTTTTCTAAATTATAGTGAAAAACAATAATGAAATTAATGAGTTCAAAATTATTATTTTCACGATCACATATCCTGTTTTAGAAAATTATAATTTAAATATATAAAAAATAAAACCTATTCTAATGGATGTTTTGAAAGACTTCATTAAAATGTTACAACCACAAAAAGCACGCAATTTTCTGATAAACTTTTTTCTGTCGCTTATTTCATTGAAGTATAATAAACGTATAACTGTGTTGGTAATATTACATATAACGTACTATTACACTAACTGCTCCATTCGCTCTTATACGGAGTCGTTGCGGTCACCTAATCTAATATAATCTGATATAGACACAGCTACTGTTACAATTTACTGCTCAACAGAGTCAAGGTCAGCAGCCGTGTCTTACGTTTAAATAGATCGCCAGTGTACCGTGTAAAAACTTGGGCTTCATGCAAAATCATCTGTTGTGTTGTGTTGAATTAAATTAGCGTCTTCACAGTTCGTGATTTACAAAAGAAAAACATCTTACTTAACTACTCACAGTGTTTATTCGAGCTCGTAACACTTCCGTCACGGCTTACAGAAGACTAAAGAAACTAAATATGTATCATTCTGTGGGCTAGTTTTCTTTTGATAAGTGTGAAGGTCCCTTGGAAACGTCGGACATATTTTCCTAAACAATGCTAATTACATCGTAATTTTATTTATTGTATAAGCTTAAATTATGTATATTATAGTATGGCATAATATATTTTCCGCTCGAATTTGAGCACCCGCCTCGGGAAGTAACCTCCAGCTTACAGAAAACTACAATAAAATATCACTACAGTTTTAGTAATGTTGTGTTCCTGTAGCTAAAAAAGGTACCAGGGCTCCACGGGGTAGGGGATTGGGTCAGGGTAGGCAAAGGTGAGAGTGATAGCTTTGGTGTAAGCGACTATAGGCTATCGCGGACGCTTATCATCAGGTAGGCATATACTTGATTGCCACCCTTTTAACATAACAAAAAATAAAAAAAGATCCCTTCTGATAATACACGTTTACCGTAACATATAAAGCCTTGCGATAACACAGTACCACTTGGATGTTGCCTACTATCCTGACAAAATCCCAAACCCAGCGTACCTCTGGAACCGTAAACACTGATGAAGCACAACAATACAAAAGGTTGTGTTATGTATAAGGTGGTGGTCGGTGTTCACCTTAGGTGGGTATGCCGCTACCACTCTTACCTCCTTATTAATAAACTACGAATAAGCATGAATTAGTTACTCCATGTTTTGTCTCTGTCATTTGAATGACAAAAAAATGGTATTTAAGTGATATGAACAAAACACGGTGCAACTATTCTCAGCTTTTTCCTCGTTTATTAATAAGGGGGTTAATGAATAAGTATGGATGTCAATGTCAGCCAGTAAGCTGAAGCCCAGCCAAAATATTCTGTTTACCTACCTGTATCTAATTTAAGCTTATCAGTGGAGTGAAACAAAGAAAAAAACTTCCTCCTTAGCGTTTAAATATTATCTTTTATTGTTGTTGTTGAGACTACAAAATTCAAAACTTTCAGCAAGAAACTACTTATGTAATACTTACATTACTTTATTAACCGTTGACTTATTTGTAATTTACTCCCTTAGGTTTGAGTTTGTTTCTTGTACAAATGAAATGACCAATATTTGACCGATCAATCATGATAGCGTGACGGTAACAAGCTCGAGTGAGTGAACGTAAATAATTCACATTAGACGGATCAAGGTCTGCGAAAACGAAGAAGACTGGCACTAAAATAATATAATAGTTCTTTTATAAAAACTAAGGAAACTGAACAAAGTCATTAACAAGTATATGGTAATCGGTTTGACAGTGTTGCTGGTGAATTCAACGATGATACAACGATTAATGATTTTCTGATTGGGATTAGGGTCAGTATTTGCACCGATAATAGCCTATTAACATGAGGATTATTGATAGAAAGAAATATTGGTGGACTAGATATTAATAATAATCATATTATGTAATTGTTAAGTACTCAAAATTTACTGCAGATATGTTTTTATTTAATAAACACAACATTTGTAACTTACTCGGGCATGGCCTATTCCATATGTTTGTTTGCGGCAATCCAGCAGTTGAAAATAGACGTTATGATGCAGCTGATGTGGATACCTTTAGTGAGAAATATGTTAGTTTATATATAAACAAAGCAATATTACTTATTGCAACTGTTCTGCTATGATCCCACGAAGAGTTTAGTTCCACATCTTCAAGTCCATTCGATCATAAAAAAAAATCTAAAGGTCATTTACACGTTGCGATTACAAACAACAAACGTACAAAAAAAACATACAGAAGAACTGAGAAACTCCTCCTTTTTGAAGTCGGTTGAAAATATGATACCCCCTTATCTATTTAAAGTCGATACAAGGAATTAACGCGGTCTTATAGTGCAGCATTTTATATTTATAAAAAAATATGGTCTCATAAGAATTACATTTCATAATTACTACATTAATCGCACGAACGAAAGCAAAATAAGAAAGATAGGTATGCTGACATTATTGACTTTTTACTGAAAGTACTTTATGAATTGGTAGGTAATTATTCTGTGATTAAAAATAAATTTAGTCCTCTTGAATTACAAATGGGTAGTAAATGGGAACATAATATACGTACTTAGTGATAGTAATCAACTAAGTATCAAAATGTATAATAGTAGGTATAATAAGTACTTACCAATTACGAGAAGTAAAACATTATTTTTTTAATTCAACCTTATGGTTACATCCAACTATTTTAACGTTGCGTAAAAACGTCTGGATAGAGTAAAGTATGGGCTTGAGGCAAAGTAAGATGGTTAAAGTAATACTAGGACGAGATAACGCCGAGAAAAGAAACACAAGAAAAATTAAAATAGCCCAAGACACGATAATTGCTGCTAGACGTCAGAGGCGTCACTTGTATGAATATTTAACGAAGACAGCTTTACGTTTGTATTGCTCATAAATTTTATTATTTTAATATTAATAGACTAGTGAACAGATGAAGATGTTGAGTTGTAGTTTAAATTGCAACCATCGATCCTGTGATAAACTATCCACTTTTTGAAGACTGCATTTAAGTAACTTTCTGAAAAGTGTTGTATTAATGTCATTAATAAAATATTATAGTTTCCTAGAGTACAGAAATGTGGTCATGGCAATCACTTTGCGAATGATATCCCCCTATTAAAAGTTATATTTGTTCTAGTGCCACACGGAACAAGACAACTTATTGTCTGAGTATGCAATTTTTAAATTTAAGATCAAAAGCTGTACTTTCCATGAGCATCAAAAATAGATTGACAGTAAATTACGAATGAACTAATCTTGGTTCTAAAATCATTAAGTGGAACAACATGGAATTTTCGACAGTAAAGAAAAAGGATAATTCTTCGTTGTTCCAACGGATTCTCTGCAAATCAGTAATGTGACAATTACTATTACAGCAGTTCATACTATGCCATATCTGTTGTACCAGCTTTTTTCATATGGTCGCCACTTAAAATTCATACCAGATTGAGAGAAGTCATTTAATTACTAGGAAATTTACAAAAAAGAAAAATATTTTTATATTTTTCTTTTTTGTAAATTTCTAGGTGCATTTCAAACCTATTTAATTATTTATTAATACACACGCACTTTATGTGGCACTTTTGATTGGCTCGGTGCACGGGCTAACCTTGGTAATCAAATATAATATATCAACCACTTTATCTACGTTACCGTCCTGTAAAAGCCATAAAAGCACGCTAACCTTTGACTTGAACGAAGACAATTCGTTACGATCAAGTGCAATTAACTAATGTTATTATATTTATATGAAACTATTTTGTGTCTGAAGTGCTGACTGACTTTACCTAGTTAAATAATGCCATTTTTATTTGCTAAAATTCAATTTTAGACCAAACATTTTCCATCTTAATATAAATTGCAATGTAACGTACTTAGTGTTACTTGAAAAAAAGCATTGAAGGGTATCATTAAAAAACATTAAATTAGGCAAATATGAGATGTTTTTAATAAAAGGCTATAACTTGATTTATTCTTGTTACAGAGACGGCACACAACAGAGGCGCCACCTAGGCGCCCACCTCCACACGCCTGCTGATGAAAGAATAAATTGTGATGCTGGCTCGAACAGGACCCTACAGGAAACTGCGTCCCCGGGGACGACGAAGGACGTTGTAACTAATCGGATAGTTAAATAAGTGCAAGTGCCTAATCGTTACAATGGTGGCTAACAGGCGGAATTTTATATTTAGAGTAAGCATCGTGATCAACATCGCCGTCCTCCTTTACGCGGCGATGCATTTATCTGGCACCAACGCGCCAGGTGCAGAGTGGGTTCCAGTCTCTGTGGACGGTTCAGAGAGAAGTGCTGAAATGAAATACTTGCCCGGAATTTACCGAGACGAATTCCGAAACGTCACTGAGAGCAGAACAGCAGAATTGAGTATGAGAAATATCGAGGAATCGACTTCTCAGAAGATGCCATCGACAGTAGCAACAACGAATAAAACCGCTTCCAGCACGACATCAATAGCAGAGCTGGAAAAGAAATTGCACGACACTTCGTCGGAAGCGGACCTAACGAATGAAACACTGGATATAGTGGACGAGAACGCGCTATCCGAACCGACACTCGCGCGTTTGCGTTTCTTACTTGGGTGCAATGAGAAGGACTATCTTCCTGAGTACATTCAGCGGGGTGAATATTGGGTGCTCAAAAATTATGTGCGTGCCGATCACGGTACAGTGTTGTGTCATGAAACTATAACTTATACAACACACGCCGGGTTCGAATTCCTTGATAATGTGCAACCTCTAGTCGAAAGGTGAGTAACATACTTAAGTAAGGATATACTCGTATGTGCCAGCAGAAATACAAGCTGGCTACCTTCTGCTTGTAAGTGTTGTAGCTACCTTATTCTTCTACGAGTCTTCGAGGGTAGTCGATGTTGTAAGAAAGCACAAACACGTGTTCAGCCAGATAATTCCATTCTCGAATAGAGCGACTAAGAATTTAGCTTTTATTTAGAATGTCCTTGACTTAAGGTTAGTTACCTTTTCTCAATTGCTGGTTATAGTTAATGTTTTTAAGCTTTGTGCTCTTTTAAAGGCGCACCTTGAGAGCGATCGTAAACTCCATCAATCCTGAGTGCTCGTAAAATCGTAGTCTTCAAAAACACATCAATTAACCCTAGATAAAGTGGTGGATTTTGAAATACTTATGATTCTCTTATTCGGAAATATAATGCAAAACCTTTTGTTATTAGTGTGAACCGTGAACTGAAATCGTACCATTGTGATATATTAGTAGTTCGTTAGTACTTTTGTCATATTTAAAATTTATAGTATATGTTTGTCAAACGGTTGAAAATACTATTTATCACATACTATCTTAGGTTTATTCTGTAATAAATTCAACAGAGTGAATGGTTTGTAATTTTGCACAGTCGTCAAGTTTAATTTAGGATAAAATGTAGAATAACCAGGTTTTGGTATATAATCTATCTATTTAATTTTACTCGCGGTTTGCCAGTAATATTTGACAAAAATAATGCTCTTTATAGTTGTGTGATGCGAATGGACGACTTTCATTTAGTGATCTCGTCAGTCCACTTCCATTTTGATCGAGTCGATTGATGATTTCACTATACTCGCTCATTCCAGAATCGAGAGTGTTTTATTTTTTTTTCTTCGCATACTAACTAACATCGGCTCGTGATATAAACGTAGGTATTAACTGTTCAAAACTTTTACTTTCTCTGATCACTTGTTTGGATAGGTAAAAGAAACACAATTTTAGTAATCTTAAAAAAGCGATAAAATACTGAGAAATGTTGTTTTTAATAATAATAATAATAAGATTTTATTGACCAAAAAAATCAGTACAGTAAGATTACGTAACAAACTTAGCACTAGTTACAGAAAGTATAATTTATTAGCCTCTGCTACTGAACTAGGCAATGCCTGTATTTCAGCATTCAGCGCCATAAACCCCCACAGACATGAGAATACTAAACTAGACTATAACTAGATATTTATATACTAAATAAATATCTCATAAATGAAAAGATCAGTAGGTCATTTTAAAAGCAAGGCATCTATGAGTATAATATTTGAATTAATATGTAATGTATGAGAATGATGTGTGGGTGTATGTGTATGTGTGTGTGTGTGTGTGTGTGTGTGTGTGTTTGTGTATATGTGTTTAAGTGCGGATTTATTTAGTATTTGTAGCATACGTGTATGTATCTGTTTGAATTATTCAAGTTAGTATATTTATAAAATTTTCGGTTTCTTCATAAGACATTGCTTGAAGCCACCTATAAATAACTTCTTTACATACTAACCTGGGTAATGGGTAAATATTCAACAGTTTATTAATTTGATTGTATAAATAGGGACCTAAAAATTTGAAAAACCTGTGACTGAATTTCGTACGTGTCCTCTGTGTACGACATACTGCATATTTTCGCCGAGAAGAAAGAATTGTGCTACTCGCGTCAAAGGTAAGCAAGGCATGTTGCCTGAGAACTATATTTAGTAAAAACAGTTGTCGTACTGTAAGTACATCGCAAACTTGAAACAAGTCAAAAGTTGAATACAGGAACGGTTTAAACATGCAAAATTTTCAGTATTGCTCTTTGAGCTACTTCTAGTTTTAATATTTTTGTTTTAGCTGCACCACCCCAACTAGCGATACAGTAACACAATAACGATTGACAGAGCGCATAGTACACCTGCTTAAGACGATGAGGTTCCAGAACATGACGTATATTCTTAAAAATAGGCATCAACTTACGAATTCTTGCCGATAATTGATCAATGTATTTGTAAAAGTTGAGATTTTCATCAATGATAATAATACCAAGGTATTTAATAGATTGAACAGATTCCATGGCTAAACAGGAACAGCAACTTTCATGGTTAACATTATTGTCAGTCAAGGAAGTATGGAATCTAATTTTTAAGTTAGTATTACAATTTTGGTGATTTTTTATCGAAAATTTAATATATTTAGATTTAACTACATTTAGCGAAAGTCTATTAATTGTGAGCCATTGCTGAACAGCATTCATACCATCCTGGGCATCACGAAAAGCACTGTATCATCTGCGTAGAAAGTTATTTTACCATTGGGAAGCTCCAGATGCAAAAGATCATTGATGTAGATAAGGAAAAGGGTTGGGCCTAAAATACTTCCCTGTGGAACTCCATACTGTAATTTTAATTTATCGCTTATGCAAGAATTAACTTTGACACATTGATATCTATTTGACAAATAATCTGAAAAAATTTTAAGCTGTTGGTCACGGATCCCTATATTTTCTAATTTAGCAAGAAGTATTGGAATGGAAATCGTATCAAAGGCTTTTGCCATATCCAAAAATATACCTATATATCTTCTACCTAAGTCAAGATTGCAAGTGAGAAATTCAGTAAGACTGAGTACGGCATCATTAGTAGATTTTCCCTTGCGAAAACCAAATTGGTTGTCAGAAATAATATTATTTGATTCCAAATAGTTAATTAGTCTGTTATTTATAATTTTTTCTAGGATTTTAGATATGGTTGGGAGAATTGAAATAGGCCTGTAGTTTTCAATAGTATCCTTATTGCCAGTTTTATATATTGGAGTAATTAAGGATATTTTGAGAGCATCAGGGAAGACGCCTTGTTTCAGACAACAATTAAAAATATATGTCAAAGGTGATACAAGAAACTTAACATTATTTTTAAGTAACTCACTTGAAATTTTATCTATACCAACCGAGCAATTGTTTTTCAGACCCATTATCAAGCGTTCGACCTCATCCTCATCGACATCTAGCATTACAAAGGAATTTGGTTTTGGTTTTTGAAAGGCTGTTCTTTTACAAGAATCTTTATCCAAAACAGGATCATTAAATTTATTGGCTAACTCCCCTGCCACGTTTATAAAATAATTATTGAAATTATTAACGGCATCTTTAGGGCAGGAAAACAAAGACAATAACTCATTGCTAGAACCATTATATTTATTAGTATATGTAATCTCTCTTATCGCTTCCCACATTTTTCTGCTATTATTACCCGCATTGTTAATTTTTTCTCTTTCATAGGATCTTTTAACATTTTTCAAAATTTTATTGCAGTAGTTTCTGTATCTAACATACGTTATCTTTAAAATTTCATTATCTGGCGCACTTTTAATTTTTTTGTGTAAGCGATCTCGATTTCTTATACATCGTAACAAGCCAGGCGTATTTTATCATATTTCATAAGGTTTTTTTACACTAAACACATATTTTAATGATGAAATAAAATATAGCCTTATCGATATTAAACAATATTAAGGCCAAAAGGAAATAAGTCTGTGGGAGGGACAATTGTTACATTAAAAACTTACATATTAGAAATGGATTACTTAAATGTAGTTCGCTTGATTAAATCAGATAGATCTGTTTCTCCATTTGGAAGCGTCAAATCGTGAAAAATGATCGTATCAGTGCACTTAATAGAACAGCTTTCATCTATAAGTTACACAATTATTTGTCTATACTCAGAATTGTTATTACGCTCATGAAATCTTGTTACCAATAAATGGTTATGATGTTGGCGCAACACGGAAATCTATACATCTGCAAATATGACGATCCGAACATTTTTGTGTTGTAATTTTATAATATGAATAATAAATATCTTTGAGGTAATAAAAATAACGTAATAGTAAAAAATAACGGAAGAAATAATGAGGTAACCATTTTTTTTCATTAAAACATTAAATGCGGCAATACTTACAAAGGCTACTACGAATTTCTATTTTAATTTCACCCTGTACTGTGCTCCACCATAGAGTGTTGTTATAAAATATTTAGCAGAAGGACTAATATTCGCAACGTCAAAACCTTACACATCAAGGTTCATCTCCTACAATCTTTTCTGCGAGAGTTTTGCCTACATTCGCAAAATATTAATTGATATCATTTACTGAAATTAGTCAGGAGTCAGATACATCTAGATTTTTTTTTGGAAAGGAAGTATGTATTTTTTAAAATAACTTCTAGCCATAATTTCTTACCTTTTGAACAAACTCACTTTCTTAGGTTATTTTAGTCTTTTTAAAAAATATACTACAGAGATTCATACATCGTATATAGGTTTAAGTCTTGGTATTAAGTTATCAGGACAAGATTATATTTTTTTATGCAGCTAATCTCTATTTCTGAGGAAAGCATGGCGTAATAATCTTTTTACGACGCGATAACAAAACACTTTTAGCATAAAGTAGGTAATACCATTTTAGAATGCGCTAATTTCATTAGGTACAAACTAAGTGTAAAATAAGCGTCCTTATTCGCATGGTGTGATTTATTTTACATAAATAAAGTTCGCTTGAAGTATATGTACCTACATATATCTTTAAAAGTCTGTATTTATTTAAGTGAATAAAACAATTACCCGACTATAGATGTGAAAAAGTTCGCATACCCATGAAACTCTACTTGTATTATGAATACGATGAATTATTCCTTAAATAACGAGTTATTCAATACCGCTAGTCATTCGTATCTAATGATGTTGTAAAAGGGCCGTGCAATATATAATAATCGCAATGTGTTAAAGAATACTGATGCAGTTAATATCATAATATCTTAGATGAATTTAAGGTAGGTAGCGGACAAGAAAATGACTACCTTGCGTACAGTACAGACGTGTGATGCGTCAGACGTCAATCAAATGAAATAACCAAGCAAATGCAATCGTGACCACTTTTATGTTGCAACAGTTCAATGTTTCGGCGATGATTCTTTATAGTCTTCTTTTCTTATAATAACATGTAATGATA